TCCATTTTGCTCAGTCACACGGTCGTAACGAGATGGGCTGGGCTTGAGAAGTTCTTTTTTCTCGAGGCTGCTGGCAATATATCGAGCTGTGTGTCTTTCATAAGAGATTAGCTCCATGTTTGAATCTCTTCCACGGGTTGCCTCTCCCATTTTCCAAACTTCTGTTGACACTCTACAATAGGAAGGATCTGTCTCGATGCCTACGGTGCTGCTTTCATCTGGATTGAATTCCTCTCCTTTCAGTGATCTCTTTAAACTTGTTTTTCCTGACTGACCTTGCCCAATTAACATGATTGGCACTCTTTTTACACTGGTTTTTCCCTCTTCGATGGCTCTGTTGTAAGCCTCGAGGGCCTGAGGGCCTCGAGCAAAAATTTCCACAGGAACTGCAACAAAACAATGAGTTCAACAAATAAAGGCAAACAAAGTACATTTCTTATCTAGAGACATATTCTAAGTTTAAGTTCGTTTGAATCGAAGCTAGAAATTTTCATTCCTGGTTCACAATAAAGTTTTATGCGGTGGGTGTCACGGGATCACCTCAAATGAGGATCTACAATTCACAGTGGCATCACCAGACGAGATAAGTCCGTATGAGTCCGTAGGCCCGTCACTGCGGTCCTTACAATGTATTACAATCATTACAATCCATTTTAACCTGTGATCGTGCTATCATAATTGCCGATCGTTTGTTTCATTTCCTTACTTAGACCATTCTCTCGTTTTTAAAGAACATTCTCGGCGACGGAAAAACTCTCCCCGAGTGCAAACCATACATAAACTAGATTAGCAAACAATGTTGAAACATTTTGAAAAAATTTGTGCGTTAATGTAAAGAACAACCAGGAAATTAATTTCTTTGTACAACTTAAATCGAGGAAAGATACAAACTCACCTGATGCATGTTCGTTATCGTCATCTCCTTCAAACGGAAGAACCTGTCGATTATCGTAATACAACCGTGAATCTATTAATCGTTTCTTGTTAATCCATTTTCATGATTAGGTTTAAATGTTCAAAAGCGTCCTTAATTTAAGTTAAGCCTGTTCCAGCTATTAATTCTGTAATTGAGGCGCAATAATAACTCAGAGCAAAAAGGAGAGCAGGTAAGTTTTGCTGGATCCTCCGACCGCTGTAGATAGTACACATGTATCAGCACAATGCATGTCACAATGGGTAAATTTTGCTCAAGAGCAGTGTTACTCTCTCATCGTATATAATTACTAAACTCGTTTCCTATTGTCAATCACCTGATTTGAGTGTCTATGTTAGGCCTAGTCCTCAATACAGCCTCTGCCCTTTTCTTCAGTCTGCGCCGGTATCGCAGTCCAATAGAAGGCCTTTAAAGGCTACACAATCTTTGAATGAGCTCTAAATGTTGTGCTGTTAACGAGTAGATTAAGCTATGGTCGAAGTAAAAATTCAAAATTTTGGTCAAGTTTCCCCTTCATTTTTAAATGACCCTCTCTAAAGAAGGGAGGGGGCAGAATGTTACCTCACCTCTTTCAAGATATTAGGTTCAGGACAACTTTTAGACCGCCACAACCGGACTGGAAGATCTGAAGGTTTCTCCACTGGCATAGATGTTTGGACAGAAGGCAATGCATGAGCTGCAAATTTCACAGGAAGATCAAACTGAAGACGCTCCGGAGGAGCACTGTGTTGGCCTGTAACTGTAAAGAACCAAGAAAAAGTTTAGAATGAATGCTTACAAGAGAATATCATCCGAGGATATTCCCTTGATATTTAACAAGTACTCCACATC